AAAACAAAAAAAGGATAAATAAATAAATACTGAATCGAAGACCAATAAAATTAGCCATAGCTTCAAAAAAAAAAAATGCTGTCTATTATTAAACTTACTACATAACACCAAAAAAGTACAAACAACAAGTTATTAGAAATCCATTTTGCACTACAAGGGGTGGAGGGTGGAGAAACAAGAATAAAATCTTTGGGCTTAAAAAAAAACCATCTTCTTCAAGATAAGTAATAGTAATATACTGTGCTGTCATCATTTATAATAGCCCCTATGTCCTGCCTAATTTTCCTTCATCCCTTTCTTACTGTACTCCAATTAGAGTGTGGTGGGTTTTTTAATTCCTCAGAGATAACCTAGGTCTTTCCTACATTTGGTTTCTACTATTTACATTACTTTTAACCCATTGTCCTCTATATCTTTGCTTAAATAACTTCCCTGACCTCAAACCCAGGCTGTCCCCTTTTACAATGTAGCTGCAGAGCACTCACCTCTGTACCCAGCATACAGATATCTGTGGCATTATTTAATGTCCTTCTACTCAAGTTCCTCGAGGGCAGGCACTTGTCTGTTCTGTCTAACACTATATTCCTAGCCCCTAATGTAATGTATAAGTTCAACAAATATTTGTGAAATAAATTGAATACAGAGGAGAAAACGAATTTAAGGTAAAATTTATCTACTTTACTGTATGATAAATTTGAACTGCAGTTGTTTTTAGAAACAAGTAATTTCTATGCAAATGAGTAGTTGTTAATAGACAAAACAAAAAAAGTGCTATTTAAGATTAGATAAGCACTTTGGAAGAATTAAAAAAAGATATTAATTATCTATATATCAAAGCTGGTCTTCAAGTAACTTCAACAAAGTGCAAATCTGTCAACTTGGATTTGCCGAACATATAAAAGTACATTTAACTAACCAAATCTGTAAATTAAAAGTTAACTTACTGAGAATAGCCTTCTCTAATTCTACATTAGTGGTTTTACTAATTTATATTCCATATATTCATAAAATAAACATAAATCATTAAACACAACCTTATGACATTTAACAAATTGTGGCTACTTGAAAGTTCACAAAAGCACACAACAGAAAATTAAACTAAAATGTTTAAAAATACTACATATGGACCAAGGTGGTGGCTCACGTCTATAACCCCAGCACTTTGGGAGGCTGAGACGGGTGGATCACTTGAGGTCAGGAGTCCAAGGCTAGCCTGGCCAAAATGATGAAACCCTATCTCTACTAAAAATACAAAAAATTAGCCGGGCATGGTGGTGCATGGCTGTAATCCCAGCTACTTGGGAGGCTGAGGCAGGAGAATCATTTGAACCCGGGAGGGAGAGGTTGCAGTGAGCCGAGATCATGACACTGTACTCCGACCTGGGCAACAGAGCAAGATTCTGTCTCGAAAAAACAAAATAAAATACTATATGTAAAATTTATAATAGTTTCTAGTAGTAACTTTTTGTGAACCCCTATTATGTGCAAGCCACTGTACTGTTCTATAGACATGATCTCATTTAGTTTCCACGATAACCTTAGGAGGTATTATACTAAATCTCTGTTCTACTAAAAAACTAAATACAGACATTAAGTGATCTGCTCAATGTCCTTCAGATTGTCTGTGAGAGGTGGAAATGAGTTGAAATTCACAGGTTGATGCAAACTGCAGCTCATGCTCTTAATCTCATATTTCAATATAATAATAATATATCGGGTCATTTCAGTTCTGGGCGCTTGAAATATTTTAGATTGCAATACAAAGAACATGGGAAAAAATAAGACAGCTCTCAGATTTACATGGTTAATGAGAAAATTTTCTAGCAGTGATAGATACCATTAATTTATTTTAAAAGTCTTTATTGTTATGAAAATTAATCCCAAAGTTTCCCAGGATTTTCAAGGTTTTCTTGCCAGACTAGGTTAATATAAAATATCCTGTGGTATTTCCCTTTTTTTTTTTTTTTTTTTTTTTTTTTTTTTTTTTTTTATAAAAAATTTCCTTTGTTTTTTTCTTTTTTTTTTTTTTTTTTTTTTTGAGATAGAGTCTTGCTCAGTTGCCCAGACTGGAGTGCAGTGGTGTTATCACAGCTCACTGCAATCTCTGCCTTCCAGGTTCAAATGATTCTCATGCCTCAGCCACCTGAGAAGCTGGGATTATAGGAGTGTGCCTCCACACCCAGCTAATTTTTTTTTTTTGTATTTTTAGTAGAGATGGGGTTTCATCATGTTGGCCAGGTTAGTCTCAACCTCCTGGCCTCAAGTGATCCGCCCACCGTGGCCTCCCAAAGTCCTGGGATTACAGGCATAAGCCACTGCACCCGGCATCCTATGGTATTTCTTAAAGTTTTACAATTATTTAAAAATATATGAAACAATTTTGCTGTATGTCATACTATTCTTTCCTTTAAAAGATAGTCAAGGCAACATCTAAAATTTAGCTCAGGGAGTAATTTCTTGAGGAAGAGTATCTGCCAGATTTTGGGGTAGGAACCCCAATTCAAAATCTATTTTTATTATTTAAACACTGCATATAATGATACTCTTCCTTCTCTTTTTCCCCATAGTAGAGATAAACTTGCAAATGGTTCCCAAATACAATATGCCTAAAAAAAGAAAAAAGAAAAAGAAAAGCTGAAAGCATCTGTTATATGTTGGGAAGGCAGACCTGAATACCTATTAAACTGCTGTATGTCTCTGCTCATTTTTTCCAGATTAAGTAGATGTGGTCAAATTAACAGCAAATTTCATTGCATTCAGTGTAGTCATCTGCTCAACGAATTGTGTAGTATTGCACAAAGGAAAATTTATTTTATTTTACCACAATCAAATTTATTTTAACGTGTGAAATTTATTTAAGCTGAAAAACAAATTACTAGTAAAGCTGTAGAAAATGCCATTCTTTGGGGTGGCCTTAAACAGATGTTATTATTGGTACTGGTGATTTACATATAAAATGTACAGTATACATTACTTTCCTTCATTATTTTAAATGCAAACACTAACTTGAAACAAATTACCTTGCTTCTGTTCACAGTTCACAGCACAGCCTAAGATGAGCTGAAGCATCCTTCCGAGCTCTGCCGCATCAGAATGCTCCCCAATAAGGTTCACATCAGGAAGGGTAAAGTCATTAATTTGCTGTCCTAAAATCTGAATGGAGATAAAAGGATTATAATTGCATTTACATTTATATGACCAAAAAAAAAAAAACCCAAAAACTTGATTGAGGTTAGTTTGTTATTACTAGAAACTCATTGCCAAGGACAGAGTGACTATGTTCCATTTCACTCCCAATTTCTATTTTTACCTCCCATACCTAAATTATAAATATTTTGAGTAACAGCAACTTAGTCCCTAATCTGGTATGTGGCATGTACATCAATCAAAAAACACCTGAGTACTCCAAGAAGAAATGGGTGTATACTCTCTGAAGAAGTAGAACTAGAGAGGTTATGAACTAGGGGGTACCAAAAAGGGCTTAGATTAAACATAAATTCATGTCCCCAACAGTAAGATTCCCACTAGCCACCTTCACTCCATTTGATTCCCAAATGACTGGCAGCAAAATACCTATATCAGGGAAGAGCATGAAGGATTTCTTTATGCGGACTGAATGTTCCCACATGAAATGACTTACATGTAGACAAATGGGCACGTCTCTGCCTGATAATCCTACAGTGAAATGTACCACTCAAAAAGCACCCCCAACTCAGATTCCAATCAGCTTTTTATAGTGGTTTACTTTTAAATGTCAACAAACAACCAAGGACCACCGAGATACCTGAGAAGTATCCAACATTAAAAATAGACAAAAACAATGAAAGCAAACTCAGAGGAAAGTAAGCAATGCAGCAAGTGAAAGAAAATAAAATTTTAAACATTCTGTAACTAGATTATACACAGGTGGTAAAACTATCAAGACAAACAAGAAAATAATTATTTAAAAACTTGGGAATCATGGTTTTCTGTGGATAGGAGGTGAAGAAAGAGGTTATGATCAAGAAGGTAAACCAAGCCCTGCTAGGTGCTGGCAACATTCAACTGACCTTATTTATTTGAGACAGAGTTTCACTCTTGTTGCCTAAGCTGCAGTGCAATAGCATCATCTCAGCTCATTGCAACCTCTGCCTCCCAGGTTCGAGCGATTCTCCTCTGTCAGCCTCCCAAGTAGCTGGGATTACAGGGTGTGCCACCACACCCAGCTAATTTTGTATTTTTAGTAGAGATGAGGTTTCACCATGTTGGTCAGGCTGGTCAAAGTGCTGGGATTACAGGCATGAGCCACTGTATCCAGACAAAGGACTGGTATTTTAGATGGATGGTCAAAGAAGCCCTCCATGCTAAGGTGAAAACAGCAGAGTCCTGGAATGAAGGGGCAGACCACACAGTTATAGGTGGCGGGGATACAACACAGGGGTTACCAGTCAGTGTCTAGGGAAGGGGTGGAAGATAAGGTGTAAGAGTCAGGATGGGGGAGGCATGTCACATAGGTCCTTATAAGTTATGTCAAAGATGTGGGTTTTATTATGAATAAGGAAATCAAATTGAATTACAAGAACAGAAATACACCACCAACCAGATTAAATTTTTCTCCTTGAATAGGAAAATCAATTTCTAGAAGGACATAAAAGAAACTGCTAACAGTGATGCCCCAGGAGGAAACTGGGTAGTGTAAAGTTAAGAAACGAATAAAATTGGCCAGGTGCGGTGGCTCATGCCTGTAATCCCAGCACTTTAAGATGCCAAGGTAGGTAGATCTGAGGTCAGGAGTTCAAGACCAGTTTGATCAATATAGTGAAACGCTGTCTCTACTAAAAATACAAAAATTAGCCAGGCATGGTGGTGGGTGCCTGTACTCCCAGCTACTAGGGAGGCTGAGGCAGGGGAAATTGCTTGAATCCAGGAGGCAGAAGTTGCAGTGAGTCGAGATTGTGCCACCGTACTCTAGCCAGGGCAACAAAGTGAGACTCCGTCTCCAATAATAAAATAAAATAAAATAAACAAAATGAAAAGACCCAAACCTACGTTTGATTAGTGTACCTGGAAGTGATGGGGAGAATGGAACCAAGTTGGAAAACATTCTTCAGGATATTATCTAGAAAAACTTCCCCAACCTAGCAAAACAGGCCAACATTCAAATTCAGGAGATACAGAGAACACCACAAAGATACTCCTCAAGAAGAGCAACCTCAAGACACATAATCGTCAGATTCACCAAGGTTGAAATGAAGGAAAAAATGTCAAGGGCAGCCAGAGAAAAAGGTGGCGTTACCCACAAAGGAAAACCCATCAGACTAACAGCAGATCTCTCTCTGCAGAAACCCTACATGCCAGAAGAGAGTGAAGGGCCCAATATTCAACATCTTTTTTTCTTTTTTTTGAGATGGAATCTTGTTCTGTCACCCAGGCTGGAGTGCAATGGCGCAATCTCGGCTCACTGTAGCCTCTGCTCCCCCGGTTCCACTGATTCTCCTGCCTCAGCCTCCCAGGTAGCTAGGATTATAGGCACACGCCACCATGCCCGGCAATTTTTGTATTTTTAGTAGAGATAAGGTTTCATCATGTTGGCAAGGCTGATCTCGAACTCCTGACCTCAAGCGATCCACCTACCTTGACCTCCCAAAGTGCTGGGATTATAGGCATGAGCCACTGTGTCTGGCCTCAACATTCTTAAAGAAAGGAATTTTCAACCCAGAATTTCATAACCAACCAAACTACTCTTCATAAGCAAAGGAGAAATAAAATCTTTTACAGACAAGCAAATGCTGAGAGATTTTGTTACCACCAGGCCTGCCTGACAAGAACTCCTGAAGGTAGCACTAAATATGGAAAGAAAAAAACTGTACCAGCCACTGCAAAAACATACCAAATTGTAAATACCATCAACACTCTGAAGAAACTGCATCTACTAACGGACAAAATAACCAGCTAGCATCATAATGACAGTATCAAATTCACACATAATATTAACCCTAAATGTAAACGGGCTAAATGCCCCAATTAAAAGACACAGACTGGCAAGCTGGATAAAGAGTCAAGACCCCCATTGGTGTGCAGTATTCAGGAGACCCATCTCATAGACACACACAGGCTTAAAATAAAGGAATGGAGGAATATTTACCAAGCAAATGGAAAGAAAAAAAAAAGCAGGGGTTGCAGTCCTAGTCTCTGATAAAACAGACTTTAAACCAACAAAGATCAAGAGACAAAGAAGGGCATTACATAATGGTAAAGAGATCAAGGCAACAAGTAGAGCTAACTATGCTAAATACATTTGCACCCAATACAGGAGTACCCAGACACATAAAGCAAGTTCTTAGAGACCTACAAAGAGACTTAGACTCCCACACAATATAGCAGGAGACTTTGACACCCCACTGTCAATATTAGACAGATCAACGAGACAGAAAATTAACAAGGATATTCAGGACTTGAACTCAGCTCTGGATCAAGCAGACCTAATAGACATCTACAGAACTCTGCACCCCAAATCAACAGAATATACATTCTTCTCAGTACCATATCATACTTAATCTAAAATTGACCACATAATTAGAAGTAAAAAACTCCTCAGCAAATGCAAAAGAATAGAAATCATAACAAACAGTCTCTTAGACCACAGTGCAATCACATTAGAACTCAGGATTAAAAAACTCACTCAAGGCCAGGCTCGGTGGCTCACGCTGTTATCCCAGCACTTTGGGAGGCCATGGCGGGTGGATCATGAGGTCAAGAGATCGGGACCATCCTGGCCAACATGGTGAAACCCCCCGTCACCACTAAGAAATATAAAAATTAGCTGGGTGTGGTGGCACTTGCCTGTAATCCCATCTACTTGGGAAGCTGCGGCAGGAGAATCACTTGAACCTGGGAGGTGGAGGTTGCAGTGAGCCAGGATCCACCACTGCACTCTATGCACTCTAGCCTGGCAACAGAGCAAGATTCCATCTCAAAAAAAAAAAAAAGAAAGAAAGAAAAAGAAAGAAACTCACTCAAAACTGCACAACTACATGGAAACTGAACAGCCTGCTTCTGAATGACTACTGGGTAAATAGCGAAATTAAGGCAGAAATAAGTAAGTTCTTTGAAACCAATAAGAACAAAGACAAAATGTACCAGAATCTGGGGGACACAGCTAAAGCAGTGTTTAGAGGGAAATTTATAGCACTAAATCCCCACAGGAGAAAGTGGGAAAGATCTAAAATCAAAACCCTAACATCACAATTAAAAGAACTAGAGAATCAAGAGCAAACAAATTAAAAAACTATCAAAAGACAAGAAATAACGTAACTCAGGGCAGAACTGAAAGAGAAGAGACACAAAAAACCCTTCAAAAAAATCAATGAATCCAGGAGGTGGTTTTGTGAAAAGATTAACAAAATAGATAGACTGCAAGCCAGACTAATTAAGAAGGAGAAAGGAATCAAAGAGACACAATAAAAAAATCATAAAATGGATATCACCACTGATCCCACAGAAATACAAATTACCATCAGAGAATACTATAAACACCTCTATGCAAATAAACTAGAAAATCTAGAAGAAATGGATGAATTCCTGGACACATACACCTTTCCCAAGACTAAACCAGGAAGAAGTCGAATCCCTGAATAGGCCAATAACAAGTTCTGAAATAGAGGCAGTAATAACCTACCAACCAAAAAAAGCCCAGGACCAGACAGATTCACAGCCTTATTCTACAAGAGGTACAGAGTCATTCAGGTAGGCTTGCATATGAATACAGACAAACAAACAACAAAAAAAGAGGTACAAAGAGGAGCTGGTACCATTCCTTCTGAAACTATTCCAAACAACAGAGAAAGGGGAACTCCTCCCTACCTCAGATGCTAACTGAGGCCAGCATCATCCTGATACCAAAACCTGGCAGAGATACATGCAAAAAAGAAAATTTCAGGCCAACATCCCTGAAGAACATTGATGCAAAAATCCTCAATAAAATACTGGCAAGCTGAATCCAGCGGCGCATCAAAAAAATTATCCACCACGATCAAGTCGGCTTCATCCCTGGAATGATGTAAGGCTAGTTCAACATACGTCAATGAATAAATGTATTCCATCACATAAACAGAACCAATGACAAAAACCACGTGATTATCTCAATAGATGCAGAAAAGACCTTCGATAAAATTTGACACCTCTTCATGCTAAAAACTCTCAATCAACTAGGTATTGATGGAACATATCTCAAAATAATAAGAGCTATTTATGACAAACCCACAGCCAATATCATACTGTATGGGCAAAAGCTGAAAGCATTCTCTTTGAAAACCGGCACAAGACAAAGATGCCCTCTCTCACCTCTCCTATTCGACATAGTACTGGAAGATCTAGCCAGGGCAATCATGCAAGAGGAAGAAATAAAGGATACTCAAATAGGAAGAGAGAAAGTCAAACTGCCTCTGTTTGCAGATGACATAATTGTATATTTAGAAAACCCTACTGTCTCAGTTCAAAATCTCCTTAAGCTGATAAGCGACTTCAGCTAAGTCTCAGGATACAACATCAATGTGCAAAAATCACAAGCATTCCTATACCCCAATAACAGACAAACAGAGAGCCAAATCATGAGTGAACTCCCCTTCACAATTCCTACAAAGAGAATAAAATACCTAGGAATACAACTTACAAGGGATGTGAAGGACCTCTCCAAGGAGAACTACAAACTAATGCTGAAGGAAATAAAAAAGGACATAAACAAATGGAAAAACATTCCATGCTCATGGACAGGAAGAATCAATATCATGAAAATGGCCATACTGCCCAAAGTTATTTATACAGTCAATGATATCCCCATCAAGCTACCACTGACTTTCTTCACAGAATTATAAAAAAAAAACTGCTTTAAATATCATATGGAACCAAAATAAAGCCTAAATAGCAAAGACAATCCTAAGCAAAA